GAGCGAGATCTGGGCTTGGAGTTCTGTGATGACGAGCACGTGGGCCCGATGGCAGATCCGGGGACAGACGCTGTGGAGGAGATGGATGGAGGTGAAGCTGATGGTTGTCGTGTGGACGATAATTGTGGAGCATGAGGAGCACGTTGTCAATGTGCATGAGGAGCAGGACGAGGGTGGTGCAGCACCAGAAGGTGAGGATGTGGAGCTCTCTGGCATCTTGGACCCCTTCGCCCTGCTCACTCCTCCTAAAGATGATAGTCCTGTGTCTGATGAGGGGCAGCCATCTCATGACTATGACGTCGAACAGGCATTACTCGAGGACTGGGACGAAGCACTAGAATGTCAGGATGGTCGGGAATACGCATCATGGAGGGAGCTTTGATTCGTGCTATCTGTCCTCTGCTGGCTGCTATCTCCGGGACTACATATGACGTGGCTACTTCGCGTACTACCCATGGCGTGGCTATGTCGTGTTCTACCTATATCGGCCGTGTCGAGTGTTCCTATGCTACTACAAAAGTAGCTGTTTCACCGCATGCCTCAGCGCGAGGGGACTCAGTGGGAGGGTTGGGTCTAGCATGTGTAAAAAAAAAACTCTAAGTCCGAAGCCCCAACGGGTAGGGGGCCTTTATGCCCCGAATACGGACCCTATAAAAAGGCCTGTTTAAGGAAGTATAGTCCCCTCCCTCGTCACGCCTACCCACCTTAAGGGTTCCCCAAGGACCTTTAGTCAGGCCTACTTTAAGGAAGTATAGTCCCCTATCCCCCCCGCTCTCCCCCTACCCCCCTTAAGGGTCCCCAAGAACCTCTACTAAGGCCTAGTTTAACAAACCCTAAACCCCCATCCCCCCCCACCTTCCCCTACCCCCCCTTAAGGGTCCCGATCCCTAAAGTCCAAACCCTTTACCCTCTCAAGTTGAACTCGTTCTGTTTTGCATGGACTCCTTGCGGTTTTAGTTACTATATAGTAATTGTATAGGGGTTTAGGGTTTAGGGCACTTTTGGACTTTTTTTGTTGTAGAGTCGTAATGTAGGAACCTGATGAAAAATCCTTGGGTCTTCATTCGGGTTCTGAATATGGATCCTACTTTACTGGGGGTTATAGGCCCGGGGTTTCTTAATCAGGTTCCTACATTAGGGCCCACGTCTTTTTGGATTCGGATAGATGGGGAAACTCATGACTTTGTGAGGAGTTTCCCAGAGGCCTCCATTTATATAATATGCCGGAAAACTCCAACTTTTCCTCGGACTAGCTATTGAAGCATAGAGTCAAGAAAAAGAAAACTTAAGGCTTGGGGATCAAGACGATAAAGGGTTCGAAGAGGCTAAGCGGTGTGCTTTAGGATGTTAGGATCTTGGATGATCTGGCTTCGTGCTGGTGCCCTGCGGCTCCAAGGACCACAATTTAATGTCCTTGGCTTCAAGACAATGCCGCTGCGTGAAGTTTTGCGTTTGTTTCGAGCTTACTGGATAGCAATCGCAGGTGTAGTAAAACGCGCACGTCTTGGTGTCAATATGAGCCGTCCTGAACTCAGCAGCATGCTATCGGTCCTGATGAAACCCCAATCTTGAAACCTTCATCGCAAACTGCGAAGCCGCACAGTCTACAACCCCTCCACCCTAACCCAGAGAGCCCAATACCCCGGAAATGAGAAGGATGTCAGAGTCATAAGTCATAGTATTCAGCTCCTGATCAATCATGGTATGTTGCTGTAATTGAGGGGTATTGGGCTCTTTGGGACACTTTTTTAAACCTTAAGCCATGCCTTCGTAGCAAATGTCAAAAGGTTTGCCCAACCAGAATTCTCTTCGTGTCGTTAAGCAGACATCTAGCAGCAACCCCCGAACAAAGGTTAGCACTGAGATATTGCTCGGGAGGTTCAGTTTTGGGGTAATCTAACACCCAAACTCTAAACCGTTCGTCGTCTTGTACCTCCCATTCGCGGGGTATCGAGCCGCTAGTGGCAGACGCATAAACTCTACCCCGCCCTAAACCCCATGAAACTCTAAACCCCACACCCCCTTAAACCCTACACCTTCAACTCCTAAACCCCTAAGCGCTAAACCCTAACCCCTACAGTAGAAGCCAGAAAGTTGGAATATGATTATCGTAACCCCTTCAAGGTAAATTATAGGGAATCCTACCCTGAAACCATATTCCAACTTTCTGGAGTTCCCTTTAAACCCCTAAGCCGCTAAACCCTAACCCCTAAACTCTATGCCCTCCTCCACCCCGATCCTCCGACCCGGTGTGTGCTCATAGGAGGCCAAAAAGGGGTTTTAGCCTATGGGGGTTTAGGAGGGATTAGGGTTCCCATAATAGGGTTCTTATTAAGGAATCCTTACCCCAAGAATCGTAAACCCCCCTTTTGGCCTCCCATCACGTGCTCAGGCAATACAGGCCCTTTTCGAACTGCAGAACAGTAAACAGGGAAGCAGTTTGGGGCTCAGGGCGTTGTGTAGAGCCTTCAAAAGAGCCCTTAACGGCAGCCTTGAAGAAGTCTGGCCAGGGTTAGATCGGTTTGGGGTTAAGGGTTTAGGGGGTAAGGGTTTAGGGTTTAGGGCCCTCTTCGGCGATGGAAGCAGGTGGTCTGCAGCTTGCTCGAAGCCAAGGCCGGTCCAGGGTACTTGGAGGATCATGGGACTTAGTAAGTAGGGTTCTTACAGGGCTCCTTAAAGGGATCTATATGGGTTCCTTGTAGGGATCTATAGGGTTTAGGGTTTAGGGTCTACTTGGAGGATCATGGGACTTAGTAAGGTTATAAGTGCCTTAATTGGGGGTTATACCCACTTATAAGTATAGTTACCTTATTTATAACACCACCAATTCAGTCCCATGATCCTTCAAGCAGGGAGTGAAAGAGCGGGTCGGGTTTTAGGGTTTAGGGTTCAGGGGCCTACGGTTTGGGGGTTTAGGGTTCAGGGGCTTAGGGCTTAGGGGGTTGGTATAACTCAGGGGTTTGGGTTTAGGGGGCTTAGGGGGTTAGGGGCTTGGGGTTTAGGGTATATGGATTTAGGGGTTTAGGGTTTAGGGTTTAGGATGGTTTGGGATTCAGGGGTTTTGGTTAGGGGCTCAGGGTGTAGGGCTTCGGGCTTAGCGTTGAGGTTTAAGCATCAGGGGCATTGACAACCAGCAGAGTATGCCTTGTGGTTCCTACATACAGAGTGGGGCCTATGTTGTCGCAATCACTAGGTTTAGTTTCGGTGGTATCATTCACAAACGTTTGCTCGGAATAGGGTTGTTGCTTGCATGCAGGTTGGGATCAGGGGTTCATGCTTGGTTATTTGCAGGTTGTGCTAGTACTCTATGGACTCACCTATACGGTATCACTTGAGGGATTTTGATCAATACAAGTGAACCCACATTACCTGCAGCCCTTCTCCTTGCTCAGTTTGGAGTTTAAGGTCTGCGGTTCAGGATTTAGTGCTTGCAGGCTTTAAGAACCAGTTAACACTTAAAGACCCTGAAACCTTCTCAGGAACCCTTACAAAAGTACTTAAAATAATCCTTTAAGGAACGCTTATAGAACCCTGGAGCTTGATACTTTTAAAAACCAATAAAACTGTATGGAACACGTAGAAACGGTTTTGCAAACCGCTGAAAGCCTATGAAAACCGTACAGCACCTTAGTAATTAGTAGAGTTGGTAACCTTGGACATTTTTGGGGCAGAGAAATCCCCATGTTTTTGTTCAAAGGTTAACATGTAGTTCCCCGAGGACAGAGGACAAGTAAGCCCTTCACCCTAACAACACCTTCATTGCTGGAATCCCAAAGTGAACCTTACAACCTTGGGGTTTAGGAGTTTAAGAAGGGTAAACCGTTAAACCCTGATCCCTCCGCAGCCCACTAGCAGCTCCACCCTTGCAATAGGCGAGCCTCTGGCGCGTGGACAGCCGCGGGTGGACGCATGGTGCCAAGTCTTTGCGTTTTCGAGCTTGGGGCTTGGGGTCAACGTTTCATGCTTGGGGATAAAATCCTGAAAAAACTTGTTTCGAGTTTTGGGGTTTGAAGTTTAGGAATTGGGGCTTGGTGCTTTGGGGTTCAGGGATTAGGGAGTATGTGGGTGTGTGGATGTTTTGTTTTGAATTTGTGTCGCTTGAGCTTAGAGTTTTGAAAGGAGCTTTAAGATGTTGTTTGCGTAGTCCCCAAGACGTCCGTAGAAGGACCCTGCATCTAGAATTGTCGCTGTGTGTATGTCTGGGGTGTACATTTAACGGGCTGTTGACCCGCATCGGTACTCCCCAACTCCCTCGATTATGTTTCCTTAATCTTTTATTTGCGCTCGTCGTCCACTCGCTTCGCTGTCAGGGGCTGAGACTAAGAGCTTGTGGCGCTCAGCATTAATTGCCTTCGGGCTAATTTAACGCCCTAGGCAGCAGAGCCTGAAATACCTACCTTCTACTGTTATAGCTTGTTTTTTGAGCAGGGTCCCACATTGTCCTACAATTTGCTTTTACTAGTGCGTGTGTATGTGTGTGTGGGTATGAAGATCCTTAAGCAGGTAGGTTATGGCAGCCTTAGAATGTTCTAGATATAAACTCTAAGGTTCGGCGTCCTTGGTTTGTGGGGTTGTCGGTTTCTGGGTGTACTGTTCAGACAGTTATGGCGGTGATGTTCGCAGCCACCCTTGCCAAAATCGCAATATGTGATGCATGCCAGCAGGATCCTAAGCAGAAGTTCCGCCGAAAACAGCAAAGCCGTTGACGATAAAAGTGCATCACTCTTACTGCGCAGCAGCCTAGGTAACTTCGAAGCCAACAAGAACGATCAGCAGAACAAGCTCCAAACCCGTAGCTCCAATTTTCAAAGATGCTAAGCCCCAACGAACTGCTGAAAGCAACACGCTAGGAGACCCTGAAACCCGTCAGCCTTAAATCCCGAGCTTGAGCACCCGTCCCAACCAAAAAAACTCAGTAAACATTAAACCCTAAAGTAAACACAGCATCCCCCCAACTCGCGACGCCACGGGCGCCAAACTGACTGGGGGAAGTTGCGGCGATGGCGGTGATCCTGGTCCAGTCGGCTCTGTGGCCGCAGCCTGGGGTCCTTTTACAGTAAACCCCATAAAGTTGGAAAGGAGAAAGGCCAAATAGTGCTGGGATTCCCTTTGGATGACTCTCTAATGGATTGAGGCTATTGGGTTTCCACCTTTTGGGCTTCTACTGTAGAGGGTTCTTAAAAGGGGATCTAGAAGGGTTAACTATACGGGCTACTACAAAGTTTAGTGTAGGGGCCTTGATAATTAGAACAGGGCTTTGGGGCCCGTCACACGAGGTTCCCGAATATTTCCCTGTTGCCCTTTTTGGTTTAGGGTCCCCTTTTTGAAATACCAGACAGTAGGAAGAAGGGTGCGTACTCTCATTATCAAATCGAGGCTGGGGAGGTGCTTTGACAGCCGTCGGTTGAGTGTCCGACTGAGATTTGGATCCACGGGTTCAGGGTTTAGTGTTTTGCGCTTGGGGATCTTTAGGGCTCGAGGTTCAAAAGCGTAAACCTCAAACCGGGAACACCAAGCCCCGAAGCAGAAGTCCCGAAGGAAACTTGGAAACATGCTACCCCGCACTCGGCAAGGTGGGCACGCTGCACAGAAGCGCCATTCCAGTGCTGCAGCCTCAGCTAGTGGTATCGTGGCTGACTCTTGCTCAATTCCGCGTTTCTTCTGTGGCCAATGGAAGAAATTGTTGGTTTGTAATATGTCGTTGTTGAAGGAAAGTTTGATTTTGTCGCGGTCTGGCCATAATTAGTGAAGATTCTAGGGTTTAGCGAGGGATTAGGGTATAGGGTTTACAAAGAAGAAGAGACACATAAACCTCCAAATCCTCAACTCCCGAACCTCTGCCCTAGCCGTACCATAGGGGTGGTTATCAAAATTATGGTCCTTTTTGGGGGGTCCCCACTATAATACGGCACTTATTATTTTGGGTACCCAAAAAGGGACCCTGATTTTGATAACCGCAAATAGAAGTCCTCCTCCTCGAGATTTTCAAGCAATCTTGCATACACGAATGGAAGCTTTATAGACTTCACCGTTACACCCCAGACTCAACCAGATCCCCAAACACCAAACCCAGTGGCCTGTCCGTAGGCAGACACGTAGACATCTTGGCACCCTACACCTAACGGCTAAGGCCGAAACCTGCTAGGTTTTCCGGTGTTGCCGCGATTCTTCTGCTTAGGTTTTGAGTTAAGGATTTGCGATTTAAATGGATTTAGAAGCTACCCTTGTGTCCTAAGGTAGCCCAGCCGCAAACCCTAGGACGCAAAGCTTGGAACCCTGGAACACTGACCCTTTTCTCCCTACGTGCTCAACTCGAACCTCTCCAAAGCCTACTTAAAGGATCATGGGACTTAGTTAGTGGGGTTATTAATGAGGTAACTATACTCATAATTAACTACTTATAACCCCAAATAAGGCACTTATAATCTTACTTACTAAGTCCCATGATCCTCCAAGTACTTGTTTTCGGAGATAGCCTCGAAGAGGAGGGGGCCTGGCAGTTAGAATTGGGCCTTGGGCCACATTGTAGCATGATATGGCAGTAGAAACGACAATAAGGGGATCATTTTCTCGTTATTCCGACTATAGTCCGTTCTTACCCAAAGGGTCCTATGTACCGATTATTAGGAAATACTATTATGACTTAGGGAAGTATTCCCCGTAACAGTACATAGGACCCTTTGGGTTAGGCTGTAGAGCAGCCAGGCGCATGGAGGAGCTGGGTGCGGAGCCAACGGTGACCAAGGTGAAGGCCTTGAAGGAGACTGAGAGCAGAAGCAGGGCCAAGTACTTGGAGGACTTAGTAAGTAAGGGTTCCTTAAAGTGCTCCTTAAAGGGATCTGTAGGGTTCCTTCAAGGAATCTATAGGGTTTAGGGTTTAGGGTTTTATTGGCTGATGATGGGACCTAGTAAGTAGGGTTATAAGTGCCTTAATTGGGGTTCTAAGTACTTGTAAGTATAGTTACCGTATTTATATCCCTACTTACTAAGTCCCATGATCCTTTAAGCAAGGGTTTTGCAGGGTTGGGCTAGGTAAGGTTGAAGGAAGATTAAAGTTGGCAGATGCGTCATGGAGTTGTTGGTTAGCTTACCCCAGTGGCTGTGAATGTTGGTTCAGGGTTCAGGGTTGGGGTTTACGTTCAGTTGTAGCATTGAGAGTTTCGCAGGTAGGTGCCATGCCCGAACCCTAACCCCTATGATATAGGCCCTAAACCCCCCCAGCCCAGAGCCCGAATCCCGAGATTTGATCAAATCTAGTTATCATATTCTCTTCCTGTCCGTTTATACAGTTTAGGGCTTATACAGAGTGTAGGGTCGGGCAGTGTCACAAAAATCCCTTGTCTAACGGTCTGACTATTCAGACCCTTATACTGAGCCGTAAACCCTGAGCCCAAGCCGTAGTACAGGGGCCTGCACAGCGTCCCCTTGCAGTGCGCATTATAACAATGTTTTTGACATCTCCCCCGCCAAATCAGACATCCTGCCGAATGATTGCCTACATCTCCAAACGCAAGTAAGACAATGATACTTTTGGGGTCCGACTATACTTTAATATCTCCCCGAAACACAAGACATCCCGTCTAAGTATGAACGACTAGTAGGTTGTTCCGTGGTATACTTGTTGACTTTTTGTGTCGCTGGATTCTCATCGTATTATAAGTGACCCAAGACAGCATCTCCTTTTTTGTAGCGGGTTACTCAAACAGCCCGGATTTACCCAAAACCTAAACCACTTAGCGTGCTGTAGGACGTACTGTTTAAGTCTTTACTCTTTGTCCATAAAGCGAAGCCCCCATCGGATCCATCCGAAGCCAGGGAATGTTTGCGATTAGGGTGCTGCGCTTAGGCATGCGGCTCGACTCTTCATCCTTACGTAAAGGATCATGCGACTTAGTAAGTGGGGTAACTATACTTATAAGTACTTATAACCCCAATTGAGGCAATTATGACCCTACTTACTAAATCCCATGATCCTCCAAGAAATCCCTATACCCTAAGCCCTATAACATCTACCCTAAACCCTATACCCTGAACCCTAATGAATGTTCTCCAGGAGATGGTCTGCCAACATACTAGCATCTTCGCCTCGTCAGCGATTCGGGTTTGGGGCTCCGGTTTTGGAGTTTTGGGATTTACCCTAAACCCTAAACCTTAAACCCTATAAACCCTAAACCTTAAACGCTAAACCCGAAACCCCAAACCCTAGACCTTAAACCCTAAACCCTAAACCCTGCTTCGCTCTTGGGAAGTTCTAGGTTTTTGGCTTTGGGGTTCATGTTTTGGGGCTTGGGGTCCAGGGTTATAAGTTGGGTACGGTCCCCACTCAGTAACAGTTGGATATTATTGATATTATAGATATATAAGGACCTGAATAGTACCCCTACTATAGACTCTGACTGTAAGGGGGCAGTACCTAAGGTCTAGGGTTATAAGCAACATTACCGGAGGGTCATACCCTACCTCTTTTTTAGGATACCTATAGTTTTATGGTCAGGATCTGCTATATATATATATATATATAGAGAGAGAGAGAGAGAGAGAGAGAGAGAGAGAGAGAGAGAGAGAGGGGGAGAGAGAGAGAGAGAGAGAGAGAGAGTTAGGTACCTAAAAAAGGGGTAGGGTATGAGACTCTACCCAGAGGCTCCATGGTAGTTCCTTTTTGGGATTACCTTATAGGCTTCTGTATATGAACCCCACAAAGGCACTGCCTTGGAGCCTTCGGGTAGGCACATAGGAATGAAGGTGCATCGGCTATGCATGCGGCTCCAGGGTTGTAGGGTGCACGGGCATCGAGGGTCTGGGTTTTGGAGTTGAGGCTAGGGTCTTTGCAAGGTTTTCCTGGATTTCTCCGGCGCTCTTCTTTGTTCAAATGGAGGACGCCTCAGCTGAAGGTTTCCTGTGCCTCCCTTTCCGATTTTTCCTAGACTGTCTGCACCGTTTGCAGCTGCACTTGGCAGATTCGCGAAGTGAGGCATTACGCCCATCAAGCAGCGAATGGAGTACAAGGGCCGCGTGCTCAAGGACGATGACTAAATTCTGCAGAAGAAGTGACTGCCCTCAACCCTACCACCGTAACCTTGGAATAGGGATGGCCGATGTACCTTTATTCCTATGTACCTGGATGCTCATACCCTACCACTTGTAAGACACCTAATTTTCTATATAACAGATCCTAACCATAAAACTATAGGTATCCTAAAAAAGGGCTAGGGTATGACCCTCTAGCCTAGGCACAGGACCCAGGTCAGGGGCCTGGGGTATGGTGAGGGCATCTGGGGTCGGCTTAGTGCGAAGAAAGGGGAGCTCCACGGGTCAGCCTACCGCGGGGGGCTACAGTAGAAGCCAGAAAGTTGGAATATCATTATCGTAGCCCCTTTAAGGTAAATTATAGGGGATCCTACCATGAAACCATATTCCAACTTTCTGGAGTTCCCTGTAAGTCCACATTGGAGGATCAGGTGACCTGGTAATATCTTGCAAGTATATGATACCTACCGTTTGTGAGTCGAATGCAGAAAATTAGAGGGATCTCCAATGCCATCTAGCATCTATAACATATAATTATCTCTCACAGCCGAACCTCATTCACACTTAGAAGAAGGCTTGATTGAACCCCGGAATGTTGGGCTGGAGGATGACATGACGCTGGCGGAGTGTGGACTCTCTGAAGGAGGCCGTGCTATAGGAAGGGTTTACCCTAAGGCTCTAAAGTAGTTCCTTTTTGGGGTTCATAGATAGAATCCTATAAGGTTAATCCCAAAAAGGAACTACTATGGAGCCTCTGGGTAACTGCTAGCTACAAGCCCCAAAATCACTATAACTGTCTGGTGCTTAGTAGGGAAGGGATCCCTATAGTAGCCCCTACGTATTCCCCAATAATAGTCAGTCCCCATAACCCATTCCTGCATTCCCTACTAAGAACCAGGCAGATAAACCCTCATCCTAAACCCTAAGCCCTAAGCCCTGCCTGAACACTTCAGGCCACGAAACCCTAAACCCTGAACCCCTAAGCCTCAAGTTCGGTGAGCAAGCTTCTGAGGCAGCCCATAATGGAGACCTCTACAGAAGGATACCTGTAGCTGCGGAGAAAGGTCATCGCATTGTTTCAAAAAGCTCTGAATATCTCTAAATTAAATCTTAAACCCCAGGCCCTAAACAATCAACGGCTGGTAGGTCGCATCTTCCTCGAAGCCCACTGCGATGGTGGACCCGGGTGGCATCTCGCTCTCATGGGTTGTAGGGTTTTAGGGTTTAGGGTTTTAGGGAATCGAGGGGTGCGGGGTTCAAAGGGGAATAGGAGGGACCCTTAATGGGGACCCCTACCCTATAATGGGCTATATAATGGGTATATAAAGGCTATATTAAGGGTATATACCTAGGGGTCCTTATTAAGGGTCCCTCCTTTTCCCCTTTGAGGGGTTTAAGGTTTTTGGTTCCCCTAACCTTGCTGAGTTAGGTGGAGATCCCTAGGCATCATGGTTTGTTTCATTTGGCTGGTTGTCAAAATTATGGTCCCTTTTTGGGGTCCCGAATATCATACGGCACCTAAGATTTAAGGGACCCAAAAGGGGACCCTAATTTTGACAACTATCCATCTAGGGAAGAGCTTGGACTCGCGGGGACTGGTTTCGCAAGGAGACAGGGCATTCGTGCAGACAAGGGTTCCGGGATGAGTATTTACTAATTTCTCGGATCCTCGAAGTAAAAACCCTACGACGCTGATTCAGCACTTCGTGAATCCTTCGAGATGTTCTCTAAATGCATTTAGCTTAAGTCGTAGGGACCCTTAGGGGGGTTAGGGGGGAGGGGAGCAGCGGACTATACTTCCTTAAATAGGCCCTTATCATGGGTATTAAGGCCCCCTACCCCCCCCTAAGGGTCCCTATGACTTAAGCCACATTGACATGATATTGGTGGCAGCTTTAGAAAGCACAGCGGCCGCGAGACAGCTGGAACCTTAGTGTCCTCAGTGCCTTGATGTTTAGGGTCTTAGGGTCTTTAGGGTCGGTATGGATAGGGGTCTAGGGTTTGGTTTAGGGTTTAGGGTTTAGGGTTGGGTTTGGGGTTTAGGGTTGGGTTTAGGGTCTGAGGGTTTGGTTTAGGGTTTAGGGTTTAGGGTTGGGTTTAGGGTTCAGGGTTGGGTTTAGGGTTTAGGGTCGGCATGGAGGAATCGTAGCACGTATCATCTTTGTCCTATGCTAAATTTGAGAACTTCCATACGAAGGGCCCTGGTTTAGATCTAAAGTAGTGGGGGTATTTGACCATGCCATGAAGATCCGGAAATCCTGATCCCTCAACCCTACTTAAGGGATCATGGGACTTAGTAAGTGGGGTTATAAATAAGGTAACTATACTTATAAGTACTTATAACCCCAATTAAGGCACTTATAACCCTACTTGCTAAGTCCCATGGTCCTCCAGGTAACACCCCAGATATCTGAAGACTCGTAGACAGGTGCCCCCCCAAGAACCGCTGCAGGTTCTGGCACTGACGCGCGGGAGTGATCATAGGGCTCGGCTGGTGGTTGGAGTCACGAGAACCGAAGCTGGCTTAGGCTTTACTCAGTAGCCGAGTACTGCGACTAGGTCCCCTTTTGTCCTTCTCAGTCTGGACGTTCACTTCTAATTAAAGGCTACATTATACGAAAAGGGTTACCCTTGTGATGGGGGGCTACCGGGGAGCTTGACCCTAAACCCTAAGCTTGTTCTGGTGTGTGATTGGTTTAATTCCTCTTTGTCCTTTATCAGAAGATACGAAACCTTTTAAACACCCTAAACCCCCCACCATAACCCCTAAACCCTAAACCTAAACACCCTAGACCCTAAACCGTAGAGCCTACACCCTAAACCCTCAACCCTAAAGCCTACACCCTAAACCCTAAACCCTAAACGCCCTAAGCCCTAAACCCCCTAAACCCTAAACCAGACCCTGCTATGTACAGCAAACAGTAAGATCCTCGGCTTAGAGTTTCTGTGTTGCAGGTTTGGGCTATCGCAGGTCGGGTATAAAGGGGTTTAGGGTTCAGGGGTTTAGGTTTAGGGGTTTAGGGTTTAGGGTTTAGGGTTTTGGGGTTTAGGCTTTCGGGGTTTAGGGTTTAGGGTTCCGGGCTATTGCAGGGCAGCGGGGTTATGACATCATAGTCGTTTCTTGTTGGGCGGCCCTGGAGTGTGGTCTAAGTAGAAAATTCCAAGCATACGCTGGTTGTGCCGCCATAGCTGGATGTCGGCGTGCTGAGAATCTCCTAGGTACTGTTTGGGGGACCCCCTGAAGGGAACCCCTCTTAACTCTCTTAAAGGGACCTTATTGAGAGTGTCTGTATCTCCATTTCACAGCTGGGGTGTCTGTATGCGGCCTAGAACCAAGGAGAAAGCATCAGAAAGCCGAAAGCCCTAAACCCTAAACCTGTATTCCCAGAGGGTCCTAGGTGCTGTTACGGCGGATACTTCCCCAAATCATGGCAGTCATTATTCCCAATATAGAAACCCTACTGTCTTCTTTATAGGTACTTACTGTAGGACTCTTCGGGTTTATAGATTCCTGGATAGCTGACCCACCACCTCTTCGAGCCTGTGGGCAGAGACCCGGCAAGAGGCTGCCTCTGCCGAAGGCATTGGCAGCGGTCAGAGCTTCGCGCTTGTAGGGCGTTTTGAGTTCAGGCTTTAAGGGTTTAGGGCTTAAGGCGCTTAGGCATAGTTTGCTTTCAATGTGTTGTTAAGAAAGATCTTAAGTGGTTTAGGACCCGGGGCTTGAGGCATTTAGGGTTTAAGTTTAGGGTTTTGAGTCTTGCAAGGTTGATGCTAAAAACTTTCTAGGGTTTGTTTCGGTCTTGGTGCATGTAGGGTTTAAAGGAGGGCTCAGGGCGAGCTACAGAGGCGTTCATGCTTTAGCAGGGATGCAGGTATTGCAGCTTAGGTTTGGTTTCTTTGGTGGTTTACGGCTATGCGGGGTGGAGCTTTGGGTTTACGGCCATACTTATTAAACCTTCTTTGAGAGGAAACTCCAGGGAAATAGTTTTTCATGTTTTGTCACATCTATAGAGGTTTGGTCGAAGTTCCAGTACCTTTAATGCACACCTTTAATGCAAAACCCTCTATGCTCTAACCGTGACCATCTCCCCAAACCCGGCAAACCCTGAAGCCCAGACCCCAATTGGTAGCCACTCCGAGTAATATCGGGGCTTCAAAATTCAATACCGTAATGATCACCTGAACCCCGAAAGTATGTAGAATTATATTCGTATCTATTCTATAATCGTATCTTAAAGGTCTTGGGTCAATATTTTACCTATTTGGGGGGCTGAGTAGGGCTTTGAGTAGAATATGTCTATAACAACTGTTGTTGATGAAACCCTGGTAATCCCAAGAAGCCCTGGCCACCACCGGCATCTATCTTTCGCAGACCGCTGCATTCGGAAGCAGAAAAGGCTCCAGGCTTGTCGAGACGCGCTTAGCCTGGTTCTGGCTTTCAGGTTAAGGGCCAGCTAAGGGGCTAGGGCTTAGGTCCACTTCATGAGGGGTGGACACACATCGTCGAATTTTGGTCTCTAGCTCGCGCGGCATTATTTGGGACGTCGGGCTACGACTCTAGAAGGGCTGAACCTTCCGCCCCAACCCCCAAGACCTAAACCCAAAACCGTCTTCACAGTTCATGGTTTCGGATATGTGTTCACCCCGAGCCCTACAGCGAAGCTGTGGATGGCGTAGCACGTGCTTCATTCTTCGCAGTACCCTTTAGCGTTTCAAGGTCAGGGTTAATTTGGGTGTGTAATTCGGAGTTTAGAGGGGCTGCACCCGCGGAAGCCCCAAATCCTAAACCTCTTCAGCTGTCAACTAAGTCCTGCGCCCGGACTCAGAGACATTTTTTTTGGGAAACCCTTCCAGGTACCATGTAGTAGCTACTTGGAAACTAATTGGGGCCGCAAAAGTACATACTTTGCCATTACTCAGACCTTCCAAAATCCCTTAGTTAAGGAATACACCGTAGTTCATAATTGGGATCCTATTATAATTTCAGGTGTATTCCTTAATGAAGGGATTGTGGAAGGTCTGGGTACTACGGTTCACTACCCTAAGGACCCTAAACTATGGGAACTATGGTATATTCCTTATTATATGGGTAATGCAGGATTTATATCATCAACCGTAGGTTCCGTTAAGGGGGGTTTAGGGGTTTGGGGCTGGGGGCTCTCAACCGTAGGACCCTTTGGGGAAGAGACTGTAAGCATGTGCAAGAAAACGCAGCAGGGCAATGAGCCAAGTTGAATTTAGGGTTTTAGGGTTTTAGGTTTAGGGTTTAGGGTTTTAGGGTTTTAGGTTTTATGGTTTAGGGTTTTAGGTTTGGGGTTTTAGGTTTCAGGGTTTGGGGTTTTAGGGGTTTAGGGTTTAGGGTTAGATTCTGGGATGCCCAGTGGTACCCTTATGCCCTTTTTGTAGTCCTAGGTTCCTTATATAGTTACCCAATACTAAAAGGGAGCCCTTTTTATTCCTAGGTTATTGGGCATCCTAGGTTCTCAAAATTGGACAACACATAAACTATACGATGGGTTTAGGGTTTTAGGGTTTGCCATGGTGTTTAAACAGATGACTACAAGCTGGCAGCATATACCAATCGAGCCAACACATGGCGACATAGCAGCCCACATAAAGCAGGGAATAAGCCACAAAGCCTAGTTAACAACACCAACATCCGGCACTAACATCAGCAGCATCTAAAAAAAAAGTGTAAAAACTAAGAACCGCAGAAGCTAAATCCAAACTGTTTCGAACCTTCACCTAAACCCTCAACTCTAAGCCTTCAACGCTAAAACCCCGAAGTACAAACTTGAACCCTATAACCCTAAGCCCTTAAATCGTAAAACCCTAAACCCTATTCCCTAAACCCTGAATCCGCTGAAACCTTAAACCCGAAACCCTAAATCCCCTAATAAATCAGCCCTAAACCCTAAACCCTAAAACCCTAAACCCTAAACCCTAAATCCGAAACCCTAAACCCTCAATCCTAAACCCTAAACCCTAAATCCTAAACCGTGCTATAAAGAGAACACACCTCCAAAGCCAACGAACCCTTAAACCTACACCCTACTCCTACTAAATCAGCAAAAAATCCTAAACCCTCAAACCCTGAACCCTTAAACCCTACACCCTAAGCCCCCCCCCCCCCCAAAAAAAAAAAAAAAAGACCACCCCAAAGCCACCCTAAACCCTAAAACCCCAAATCCCACCCCCAGAGATCTACACCCTAAGCCCCATAAGAAAAGGACCCACCCCCAAAGCCAACGAATCTGAACCCTAAATCCTAAACCGTGCTTGAAAAGAGAGCACCCACCCCCATACCTTAAGAACTCTAAACCCCTAAACTCTAAATCCTAAACCCTAAACCCCTAAACCCTAAACTCTAAATCCTAAACCCTAAACCCCTAAACCTATAGATCCCTGAAAGGAGCCCTCAAAATAGGCCCTAAACCCTATAGATCCCTTAAAGGAGCCCTCAAAATAGGCCCTAAACCCTATAGATCCCTTAAAGGAGCCCTTAAAATTGGCCCCAAACCCCCCCCCCCACCCCCGGAAAGCCAACGAATCTGAACCCTAAACCCCTAAACCCTAAACTCTAATTCCCAAACCCTAAACCCCTAAACTCTAATTCCTAAACCCTAAACCCCTAAACTCTGAATCCTAAACCCTAAACCCCTAAACTCTGAATCCTAAACCCTAAACCCCTAAACCCTAAATCCTAAACCCTAAACCCCTAAACCCTAAATCCTAAACCCTAAACCCCTAAAACCCTAAATCCTAAACCCTAAACCCCCTAAACCCTAAATCCTAAACCCTAAACCCCCCCGGAAAGCCAACGAGTCTGAGAGCTTCCAGGCCGCTGTGCCACGCGCTGGCGAATTGTGAGCCGCGAGCCGAGCCATAGGGCTTCCTTAAAGGGATCTATAGGGATTCCTTAAAGGGATCTATAGGGCTTCCTTAAAGGGATCTATAGGGATTCCTTAAAGGGATCTATAGGGATTCCTTAAAGGGAGCTATAGGGCTTCCTTAAAGGGATCTATAGGGTTCCTTGGGTTTTGTTAGGCCTGGTAACAGGGTTTAGGGGTTTCTTTCGGGGCTCCTTAAAGGGATCTATAGGGTTCCTGAGGGTTCCTTTAAGTGATCTATGGGGTTTAGGATTTAGGGTTTTCTTTTGGGGTTTGTCAGGTCTTCCGTAACAGATTTAGGGTTTAGGGTGGTTCAGGTTTTTTTGGGGTTTAGGGTTTAGGGTTTAAGGTTTAGGGTTTTTTAGCAGTAGAGTGAGTAGGCAAGCTTGAACCTGTTTTGAGTAGTATAGTCCCCATATAATAATCCCTACATATCCAAAAAGGTTACCTTACGGCTCCTGGACGCTCGTAGCGAGATCCCGGACCCTAGCCCCCAAAGCCGAAACCCAGCCCAAGACCCTCTTTGGAGCCTTAGGGTAACCTTTGGCTCCCCATGATACCCGACAAGTAGGTAG